TGTCACATTCCAGCCAGGCCTCTCTGACCATCCAGTGGCCTCTTCTTCCTGCACACTCCCTCAGTCTGTTACCCAAACCACTGGGGCCTTCAGAGTTCTGATCACTCATTTGTTCTCTTGTTTCTTGTTATGTATTTCATTCATCTGTTTATTAATTACTTAGATCTTTATTTTCTGAGCCCCTGGACTAAAATGTGAGGTTTTCGAGGGCAGAATTTTGCCTGTTTATTCACTTCCGTATTCTCAGTACTTGAATAATGCCTGACACAATATAGTAGACGCCCCATACACTGTTGTTGAAAGAAGAGTGAGAAGATTCTGTGCCTTCTCCTGAGAAACCTGCTCAAGGTTGCCTAATTTACCTGCCCACCCAGGAGGTTCCCTCCCTACATGGCCTTTGCACACCTCTCTCCAGATGAAGCTCTCACCCATTGTTCTGGCGCCAGCTCAAATGCTGTAAAGTTCCCTATTCCCAACCCCATATTCCGGAGCACATCCTTTCTCCTCTGACAGTTAGAGTGTGTAAGATTGAGAGCCTGGGGTCTTCACTCTACTCTCTTAACTGATCACTAACTGGTCCTGAAAGAGATGACTTAATAGCTCTGTGCCTCAGTTTCCTCATCTAAAAATGGAAGAAAACAGGGAAACAGAAAATAAAATACAGCTATTGTCAGGATCAAATGGAATCATCTGCGTGGAACCCTTGGAAGATTCTGGAACATAGGAAATCTTAAATATTCATAATGATTCTGATTTCAACACATTTGAGCACTTCATCAAAATGCTATCTTTTAAAATGTCAAGCGTGTTTGTTTTCTGTTTCTTTTGTCTGGTCTCACAGTATTCAGCACACTATCATGCTTGCTTATTAAGCAATTCAATAATACTTGTCTGATTGAGCTTAATAAAGTACAAGGAAATGAGAGAACAAAGCAAGATGACCAAATAGGTGAGTTATTATTTACTAACTCACAAAGTATATTTTCCTTGAATTTTTCTGGTGAGGAAAACTCAGTGCTTAAAATTGTATACTTTGGCAGTAAGTTCAACTTAGCTTTCTACTTATTCTCAGACAATGCCTGCTTTAACAGGCTTCAAACTTGTCACAATCTTAGTAATTTTTTCTATCCCTGAGGAATATTTTATTGGCTGGAAAACAGCTGAAATGCTGCCTTTTATTTGACCTCACCTAAATGGTAATTCACAGATCCATTGGATTGTTGCCCAGACGATAGAAAAGACAATCAAGAAAAGCTTAAGCCAAGGGATATTTATTTTCATCTTATAGAAATGTAATTAAATATGCAGGTGAAACAGATAAATATTAGGTGAAAAAAGAGCAACCTCCATGAGTACACATTTTTTTTAGCTTAACAGGAACGTGTTGTTGGCTCACCCTCTCTATTCTATAGGATTCCAACAAATTAAACCTCTCCAACTGGCGAGTTTGTAGTGTTGATGTAACGCTGCTTGTCCCTGGATGGCTGAGCTCAGCAATTCCAGTTCCATGTTTCCTTTCCAAAGGATAGCTAAAGAAACATTCTCTGGATAAGTGTCATATGTTTGCTATGTTTCAAAATATTTAGTTCACATTTCCCTCTATAACTCTGTTTATTGTTCCATGATTACTATGGCTTGGACTCGTTTGGTTCCAAATGTAAATTTAAATTAAAAGAACAATACTCAAAGTAGCCCAAAGTAGTCCAAAGGAGGTCCATGGATCTGATTTTCAAGGAAAAGGAGTTTTTCACCTTATATGCGTATATATTTTAGTCCATCATTCAGGTTTAGTCAATCATGCAGTCTATTCTAATATATTCCTATTTATTTATTTTCAATATGGAAGGTTTTTTTCCCTTTTCCCCTTCCCTTCCTCCTATTTCTCCTTTGCTGCTCACTTCAACTTGTAGAAACAATGCTTTTAATTGATAGAAAGGGCAATTCTTTTACAAGTCCATATTTAAAAAATGAACCATAATATACACAACTCTATAACTTTAGGGTCCTGATAATATATCATGAACATTCCTTGAGGTTAGGGTTAAGATCTAGCTCATTATTTTTAGTATCAGTAAAATAAACTATAGTATGAATATTGCACAATTGTTAACATTTCCTTTGATGGATAATCAGGATGTTTTAAGCTTTACGTTCCACAAACAACAAGGATATTAATATTTTTGCTCATGTCTTCACATATGGGTACCACTGGTTCTATAGGGTAGATTCCAAAATAGAAGACGAGAAGACCAATGGAACAAAGGCTTATCTTTATATCTGTATAGACTAATACATATTAATATTAGTATTAAATAGAGGCAACATGTTTTCTTCCATGAACTGTCAAGAAATACAAAGCCTTTTGTAGTTTAACATGTAAATCTATACAGATATAGACTAATACATATTAATATTTTTCTATATAGAGGTATAGATATTGCCACAATGTTTACTTCATCTCTCTTTGATTCCATCAGCCTAGATTTTCAGTTGGAAATATTTTCTTAACACTCAAAAACAAAAATTATATCTTGCTTTACTCAGAAAACTTCTCCTAGAAATGGCATCTTCCCCAAATTAAACCCTGTTTCATTGTTACCATATTATTTCAAGGATAATTTCCTACATTTTTTAGCAGCCCATCTTCTGATTTTTTTCTCACATTTATGACAGAATAGTGTGTGGGCTTTGTCCACCATATGAATGAACATATTTGTATACTCAGTTTTATTTGGTAACATCAGTAGAATAAAGCATTATTAATCATATTCCTATTTAGACCAGTTACAAAGACTCATTTGTTGCTGAAATTTTATACTAAGTCAAATCAATCAACTTTTTCCTTTGCTTATTTTCAAATATGAGTATAGCCCGGCCAGCAAGCTTTTCCTTGAATTAGTATTATAATGCCCAATATATAAAATGGGTCTGTTCTTCCGAAATAAAGGTGAGAATTTTTTTTTCTACTTTTTTGCATGGAACCAATGGTTGATTAGCTAGTCACTCAAGTAAATTAGTCTGACTTGTGCAGATATAAAATGTGTCTAGTTGATACAAGAATATTTTTAATAAGAAGGAAAAAAAGAAGAATCTTTGGATCTAGAAATGACCATTGCTTTTTTATTCATCACCAGTCAACACATACTAGTTCATATAATTCTCTAACTGCCTATGAGTATGTATTTACAGGTCAGAAAATGAGGCTGAGATACTAAGCAGCCTGCTCAAGTTCTGACAGCAAGTAGGAAGACCCAGATTTTACCCCATTACCTGTCTAATTTTGAGGTGCATACTCTAAACACTAGTATATCCCCAGTTCCCTGTAGAACCTGACTCATTGACCATCACTCATGTTTTGTCCCAACCATTTTTCCTCTCCTGGTTTTAAGTGATGTCAGTCTGAATCAGCAGTAAACAAATATGTAGACGTGAAGGTAAAGTTCGATTGGCTACAGTATTTATACACAATGCTGGTGTTTGACTTAGAGTTAAGGCCTCTGGTCTACTCTTGGAGGGGGAGAGCAGGCCCCTCTTCCAAGGTTGAATGTCTCCCAGAATCTCTGGTGGTTGGTGGCAGGACTTTCCATGCAATAGTTTTCAGCCTCAGACTTCATCTTTCTATGACCAAAGGTATTTCCACTCTGGTTTATTAAAGCTACTCAGTCAAAGTTAAATCAATGTTATGTGACCTGCTGAGTGAACAAACACTTTTCTCCCCTTTTGTTTCTTTAACCCCAAGGCTTATTTGAGAAGCTAACACCATTTTTCTTTAAGATTTCCAAAAGGCACACTGGAAAGTACCTCAAATGTCTCATGCTTAATAAACTCTTCATGGGGGTGGGGATGGTGGAGGCAGGGGTAGTCACATTCCCAGCTTGGTTGTATTAAATTAGGATTGTTCTTGAATAATTTGAGCATTGGTAATTCTAGAAATTTTTCAGCAGTAGAAAATGTAAGCAAAATATACATCATCTTCAGAGGCAACATGTTTTCTTCCATGAACTGTCAAGAAATGCAAAGCCTTTTGTAGTTTAATATGTAAAATTGTAGGGGGGCTGTTTTATTTTTCTGAATACAATGACTACAATGCCATTGTGTACGTAATTTGTAAATTGCCCAATACCATTTTCTCCTTTCTCATAGCATAGGGTATTTTAAACGTATTGATATATACGAGAACACATCCCATTTTAAAAATTAATATAGAAAGAGGCCTAACTTAGAGAAGTTCCTCTGGGGTTTGGGGGAGGCTCTTTGTCAATGGCAAGAGAATCTTTTTCTCAATTATTTTATTGCCATTCAAGCCTTTCGGGGAGGAAATAAGCACCACACATGACGTGTAGTTCTTGCACACAGAGGTTCAGACTGAACCACTACCTGCTGTTCCCTTCACCAGAGTTACAACGCGTTCCTGGCAAGATAGGCAGGCCATTAACGAAGCTCCAAAGCCACCAAACTCAAACACCTGAAGCTGGCTCTGTACCTAGAGAGCGCGCAACCCCTGCACCTGCAGGTAAGGGAAGCGGCTGAAACCACCGACGCTCGGCGAGAGGCTTCCAGTCTTAGGAGGGTGACCCCCTGCGCTCAACTCTTGCAAATGTCGCTGATGCCCAGCGTAGGACATTCCCGCACGTGCACGCACATAGAGTAACCCGCGCACACTCACACACCCTTGCCCCATGACTCATTCAGTAAAACGTACCGGCGCTTCCTCTCTTTACTCATCTTGCGAGTTTCCAAACCTCACACTGCGTGACTCTTGCCTGGGCTCACGGATCGAGCCTTCCCAGTGTTGCACTGGGACCCTAAGGTAGCCCTGGCGTGCCCAAGAGACGTGCAAGCATCTCGCGCCTTCCAAGCTCCCAGCGAGGACAAACCGGGTCCAAATTCGAGTAGAATCTGCGGGTTTCGGGAAGATGGGCTCTAGGGCTGCCCGCGAGTGCGGTGGGGGACAATACCCTAGGGCCCCGTGCGCCCTCGCTTTCCCGGGGCACTCTCACCATTTGTAGCCTCTGCCGCGCTTGAACTTGAGCGTGAGCGCAGTCTCCAGGAAGAGCAAGAGGTTGAGCAGCGCGAGCAGCCAGTACCGCGGCTCCTTCTTCACCTCGGTCACTCGCCAGACCCCGACCAGCGAGTGCAGCAGGAACAGCAGCCGGGTGGCCAGAGCGTTGAAGAAGACCAGTCCCTCCATGCTGGCCCGCGCACTATGCCTGCGGCTCCTTGCCTGCGCCCCCAGGACCCCGCCGGGCGCGCCCGGAGCCCACCGGTGGGCAGGAAGGTGACAAGCACTGAGACCTGCTGCTGCTGCGTCCCTTCTCACCCTCAGCGCCCGACACCGGTAGGACTGGTGACCGCGTCTCGCCCCTCCCCCAAACTTCCTGAAAACTCTTCAAAGAGGGGCGAATCCACACCCAGCTTTTCCAGACTGTTGGGTTTCCAGGGAGTCTGGGGCTGAGCTGCCCTCGCTCCTGGGCGTTATTCTCCAGCGCTGCCCATCCCCCTTCCAATCTCGGGGCCAGACTCCATCCCTGTCCTCTACCCCGCCCCCGGGCCTCCAGGAGGTCCCCAAGAACTTCCCCATCACGAGGGGGTGGAAAGAGGAGGGAGGTGGACTCAAGGTCAAGGTGCCGCACAGCCAGAAAAGAGGAGGAGGAGCACATCTCTGGCAGCTCCTCCTTACTTTGCACCAAAGTACTTTCATTCACTCACACGTTTCACGCTGTCACAGTGACACGAAGCCGGGACGCAGTGGAGCCAAAGAATCCAAGCAGTTTTAGAAACCCAGTTACTGCCCAGTGTGAAGAATTAAAACTTCCCAGGATGAGAGGCAGTCAGATCCTCTAGGCTTTCTGCGAGCTTAGCGCACATCTCTGGACCAGCTGGTAGCCCTGGTCAGTTTCACTCCTTGAAGATTCCTTATTGTGCCAGCCCCCACCGCATCCCATCCCGGAGGTTTTTTTCTTGAAAAAAAATATAGGGGTAGCAAGATAAGACGGCAGAGGGGAAGTGGAGAAGGAGACGGATGATAAAGTTGTCTTCTAATGCGATTAGACGGTAAAATGCATCCAGTCTCAATTTCAAGGACCTGCGCTCTTGAGATCAATGACTACGAATTAAACTCACCTCCTTCCAGCATCCAACACAAGAAGTGAAGTCAGGGTTTCCAAAACACCTTCATGATTTTTGTTTTCTTGTTTGGTGTACCACCGCCTGTACTACTATTTAGTTAACACTTCTCTTTAAATGTACTCAAATTTTTACTCAAAGAAATTTATTTTAAAAAATAAACTTTGTATCATTTGTAAATGGAAAGCCTGTAGAGTTCCCTATAGTTGGAAGGTAATTACAAAAATAGCTAAAATAAAATGAACTGTTATTGAATTATCTGTATATTAATTAGTGCCTCCGAAGTTCTGTGCCTCAAACTCCCTCTTTGTTATAAAGGCAGATATAGAATTAATAGTCATATTACAATAATACCAAGAAAGAATGGTCCCTTGACCACATAGTAACAATGAAAGAAATGTGCAAAGGGAATATCTTTCCTGGTTAGGTTTAGTCAAGTTAAAAATGTCTCACACTTTCCTTAAAACCAAGTTGAAAAACTGCGAGTTGTATGATTAATGTCTCCATTAGCTAAGAAATATCTAACTTCTCAGAAGAAGCTTAGAAGTTATTTCCAATATTGAAATCTGAGAGAATTTTTGCTTTCTCCTGTGGGTCAGCATTCTCCCACATCTTACAGGAAACCCAGCAATGATTTCCCGGTGCTGTTTAGTTTCTAGTGTCCTGCAGTGTTGGCTGATGACACAGTGGCCACACACCATTCAGTGAAGCGGAAGAGCATAGAGGCAGAGGAACAGCGTGCAAGGAAGCAGTGTGCTGTCGGGGTGAGAGCCCCACACCCACCAACTGGCTGATTTAGACTGCTCACTAAGTCACTTAGTAGTATTGTGCCTTTTTTCCTTCCTTAAGTTTGATACTAAACCTATCTACTCACAGGGTCATTGTGGAGATCAGATGAGTTCATCCATGTGAAGTGCCAGGCGAGTGATAAATGCCTGGTAGACACCAGTGATTATTGGAAGGACCAAGAAAGTTACTCCAGGGGAGCTGCTCTTCAATGATCTGAGCAAGTAGTAACAGGATTGGATTGGAGGAGCACAACATTCCTGTCAAAAAGAAACCCAGATGAGCATCACTAGAAACATCTGGAACTGAACAAGTTGAGTTCATTACTCTTTTAGGGAGAGGGTGCACTCCATGGGGAACTGCGGGGCACCTCAGTAAGAAGATGTTGGAAAAGTTAAAAAGCATTACAGATAACTTATTAGACATGATTTAGGCTTGACTTAGGTGATTTGGGGGCTTACAAAAGTAGGGCTTTACTCTAGATTGAATGCTATTAGGAAGTGGGGTTAATTTTATGATGGGTATGTTGATAAATCTAATATAGAAAGGAATGTTTGGTGATGTTTATGGTTTGCACTATGTTCATCGTCAGAAGTAATTTTGGAGCTGTCCTATTTTATCCACCATCACCTCAGAGTGGCCTTACCTGATGTTTTGTAACACTTGTATGGTCAAGAGGAGGATACCAATGCCTGGCTGATGATGCCAGACCACTTGCTTGAGGTCAGGGGTTGTTTTTCTCTCCCTCTGAAACGGAGTCCCACTCTGTCACCCAGACTGGAGTGCAGTGGTGCAATCTCCGCTCACTGCAGCCTCTGCCTCCCAGATCCAAGCGATTTTATGCTTCTGGCCCCCGAGATTACAAGAGGGTGCTATCATACCCAGCTAATTTTTATATTTTTAGTTAGAGATGGAGTATCACCAGGCTGGTCTTGAACTCCTGACCCCAAGTGATCTGTCCACCTCTCCTCCCAAAGTGCTGGTTATAGACGAGAGCCACTGTGCCCAACTGCTTCTCTCTTTCTCAAGCCTACTAGGAAGGGCTCTCTAGGAGAGCTTTAAAAAAGGGAAGGCAGTCAGCCTGACATCTTCTAATCATTTGTTGTTCCCTATTTTGAAGGTCTAGAAACAGATTAGGTTCTGTTGTCTCTAGAACTGAAAAACAAAATTGTCATTAAAGAGAGTTAAAGATTGTTTCTTATTGGAAGTTTTAGAAATATCTTAAAACTGTCAGAAAAATAGCCCAATAATCTTTAAACAAGAAGAAAAAATAAGCAATTTTTTATTTACTAGAAATGCAGAAAGCAAGAGAAAATGTGGCACACATACACCATGGAATACTATGCAGTCATGAAAAAGGATGAGTTCATATCCTTTGCAGGGACATGGATGAATCTGGAAACCATCATTCTCAGCAAACTGGCACAAGAACAGAAAACCAAACACTGCATGTTCTCACTCATAAGTGGGTGTTTAACAACGAGAACACATGGACACAGGGAGGGAAAACAAGCAAGTTTAAAAATCGACTCTTCTTGAAAAAAAGCAATCTCAGTTGCATGCACCCAGGTCTTGTGGCACAGGCTGGGTTTGCACTAAAATGTTTCCAGCTGGTTCCACTATTCAGGAGGCAGCTATCAGCAGGTCTCCCTTCCCTTCTGAACGCAAACCGAACATAGTTGTCAGGATTTTCTTTCAATTTGAGTGATTCTGGCTGCAAGGAAGAGACTTTCTCAATTTGCTCATGTAAAAGTAGTTATTAGAAGGGAATGTGAAGTCTAAAAGTGGTGATGGAATTCCTTGGAATGAAGAATAGGAGGCGTATGAAGACAGAGCCTCAGGAACTGGGAGCTGAAGGAAGCTGTGGACTTGCGTGGCAGCAAGGCTCTCAAGGGCGCAGTTTCCAGACCTTTGCACAACACCTCTATGACACTGTTGTCTTCCAGTCAGATTTCTCCGCAGTGAATTCAAATTGCTGAGATAAGGAGTTCAACTGACGTCCTTCAACTCTAGGTACCAGGGTCAACACTATGGACCACAGAGCAGGTTACTGACTGAAATCCATTCATTGGATTTCCCAATGCAAATACCAGTTTAGTGTTTTGTTCATCCTTCAACATAAGATTCTGGGCAGCAGAGTTTAAGTAGGGGAGGAAGGGGCATGACAGGTACATTGGAACGTGGAGTATTGCAGCTGTGATATAACATGACCACATCCTATACCTACGATGCCAAAGATGCCCCCCCCAATATTATTTAAACATTGTGCGTGCAATTATGCACCCACCAACAGGAATGCAATACAAAGTCACATCTGCATCTGGAGGCCGCCAAAGCTGCAGATTGGTCACAGAAGCTACAGTCTCCTGGCAATCTTTATTCCTCCTTTGGATCCATTTAATCCTACTCAGATATTACTTGTATACATAAATGTTTGTGGGGGGGTGGGTGTAATACAATGCATGAAAAAAAATCGCACACTATGGGAAGATATATCTGTTCCCCAGAGGAATCACTCACAATTAACATTTTAGATTTTTATTTTTTTTTCTGATGGTTACAATTATAACTTTAACATTATACTTTATATTCCTCTATTTCTTGATTTACCAATTTACAGACCTTGATTTTTCAGTTTGAAATTGGGTGAATCCATTACTCCTTCAATACCTTCTTCCTTCCTCACTCCACCTCTACTACCCAAATTTGTTAAAATTGTCTGTAACATTCTTTTCTCCAGCTATAATTAAACCTGCATACTGTGCCTTGTCAATTGGTTTACACTAAAAATTGAAAATCAACAAACAATATTTAAAATACATAATTATTGACCAGGTGTGGTGGCTGAGGCTTGTAATCCCAGCACTTTGGGAGACCGAGGCAGGCAGATCATGAGGTGGGGAGATCAAGACCATCCTGGTCAACATGGTGAAACCCCATCTCTCCTAAAAATACAAAAATTAGCTGGGCATGGTTGTGCTTGCCTGTAGTCTCAGCTACTCGGGAGACTGAGACAGGAGAGTTGCTTGAACCAGGGAAGCAGAGGTTGCAGTGAGCCACGATTATGCCACTGCACTCCAGCCTGGCAACAGAGTGAGATTCCATCTCTCTCTCTCTCTCTCTCTCTCTCTCTCTATATATATATATATATATATATATATACACACACACACACACACACACACACACACACGCATATATATAATTATTGCTCAATATATTTTCAGATGTAATGTGTTTCTCCCCTGAAGTTTGGAGACATTTCTCCATTATTTTCTAGGATGCAACGTTACTGATGAGAAGTCTGTTTTATGTCTCATTGTCCTCTTTGTGTAGATAAGTATTTTTTTAATCTCCAGAAATTTGTAGAATTTTTTTTTACCATGGAATGTTTATCATTTGACTGCATCTAGATATTGTTTGTTTCTTTCACTCGACGCAATAGTTTTGTGTCGTTAGGTGGAGAGTCAAATCTTTTATTATATCTTTGATAATTTTTTTCTCCTTTATTGTTTCTGTTTTCTCCTCACATTTTTCATCTTTGTCTTTTTCATCTGCGTTCTTGTAGTTTCTTACCTTTGCCCTCCATATGTCTAAGTTAGTCTTCAGATTATTTCACATTATTGTTGACCTCTATAAGTGA